CCTCCAATCCTCTCATAGGCTCATGCAAATGAGGTTCAGCTATGAGTGACAGGCGTGACGTAAGGCATTCGTCACAATAGTAGATATGATAATCGTCTGAATTGAATTTGCCCATTCCCGTCCATTTCTTTTACCTTCTCTTTCTCTCTTCCCTCGCTCCCCCCTCTGTCTGTCTCCCTGATCCCGCTCCTCCAATCCTCTCATAGGCTCATGCAAATGAGGTTCAGCTATGAGTGACAGGCGTGACGTAAGGCATTCGTCACAATAGTAGATATGATAATCGTCTGAATTGAATTTGCCCATTCCCGTCCATTTTAGTTCACTGATACCCAGGATGTCAATGTTTATTCTTGCCATCTCCTGTTTGACCACATCCAGCTTACCAAGGTTCATAGATCTTACATTCCAGGTTCCTATGCAGTATTTTTCCTTGCAGCATCGAACTTTCCTTTCCCTTCCAGGCACGTCCGCAGCTGAGCGTCCTTTCGACTTTGGCCCAACCACTTCATTACCTCTGGAGCTACTTGTCCTTGTCCTCCGCTCTTCTTCAGTAGCATGTTGGACACCTTCCGACCTGAGGGGCTCATCTTCCAGCGTCATATCTTCTAGCTTTTTATTTCTGTTCATGGAGTTTTCTTGCCAAAAATACTAGAGTAGCTTGCCAGTTCCTGCTCCAGGTGGATCATGTTTAGTCAGAACTCTCCACTATGACCTGTCTGTCTTGGGTGCCCCTGCATGGCATAGCCCATAGCTTCTCTGAATTACTCAAGCCCCTTCGCCATGACAAGGCAGCAATCCATAAAGGGGTAGCTCTGACTCCAGCCCTTGCTAAAGCAAAAAATTTAGTAAGTTGCCCGGTTTTGAAAAGTTCCATTTTTGGACTAAAGATCTCATAATCCCAAAATTAGCATTCATTTGCAATGGGTTGTTTTCTATGCACTGTTTGAATAGAAACATTGCATACAGAACTCCACTATACTTTTCATTTGGATTTATATGCTATTTTATAAAGTGCAAAACTTTCTATTACAATCACTTTGAAAACTTATTTTAAAGGTACTGTAACTAATACGTATATTCAATAAACTACCTTTGTCATAGAAATAAATAAAATATTTGGTGGGAAAAGAGAAAAGAAAGTGTAACATATTTATGGCATCTAATGAGGTGACCATACTGTAAAAGCTGATCTCATAGTAGTTTTTAAAGAAACATAATATAATGTATATGTTGTTTTTGCTGTAATAAATTAACATGGTTACCCTTCTGGAAACAACTCAAAGAAAATTATTCATGCCCTTTGTCCTAAGACCAATTCTTACACTGCTGGTTTTTCTCATTTTGTCTGAGGATGTTTTGTAATCTCGCTTTTCTTAATAACCAGAACGGTGGTTGCAGAGGCAAGGGAGAGTAGTAAAAGAAATATTAGGACAATAATACATACCTTAGTAGAGGTTCAAAATCATGGACACTCACCAACATCAAACTCAACTTGACAACACCAATCACTCTTAGTTCTTCAGACATGCAGTGATCTGCACGGCAATCATCATGAACTGCAGGTAGTTTGTACTGGCGCCTTTTTCAGTGTGCCTCACATTAGTGCAACATTAACTTTAACAGGCGTAAGGGGACTTTCTGAGGCAGAAAGAGCAGAAGGCACATAACAAATGTTGTAACAAATGACTGGGTAAGAGATTTTTTTTTTGCCACTGGCAAAAGTCCCTGAAAATGCTTCACAAGATTTGTATTTGCGTATCTCTACATTACAAAGATCAATTCTGCAGCTATTTTGTGCCTGCTCTCCTACAAGTTGGTTGGGTGGGATGGGGTGTTAGTCACAGGTATCTCTGTAAACCAGTAGTACAATGTATACAAATCTTCCTCTGTCATCAATTTTATAAAGAAACATGCGATTGAAATGTTAAATCAATCAATCAATTAATCAATCATCAATCAATCAATCAATCAAAGGTAGATCTAGAGTTATTCACACTTAGAACATACCTATTGAAATCAACTGGACTCATATTAGCCATAGTATGATTAAATCAAGATGCATCCCAATAAAAGCACTAAATGTTCACACATCATGGTGGTCCCACACATTCTACACCAGCATATTTACTGCCAAGCTATGTTTATGTGAAGGCGGCAGTTCTATGAACTTTAGTACAAACAGGGACTGCATATATCGTTGCTGGTAAATCACACAAACAATGTTGCCTCCTGTGATGTGTAAACTGAGTAAAACTGAAAGAGCATACTCTGGAATAAATTTATTCAGTGAATGAAGTGGGTTACATGACTGGAATGCCTGAAGCTAGACTTGCAAATAATCCCTCTGCTTTGCTAAATTAAGAAGGATCTTTGTCCTGTTGAAAAGATAATCATACAACAGAATTAAGAAGGCTAATTGTTGATATAGAGATTAAAAACTTAATACTATAGGAGTATTTCATAAAATCCTACAATTCCATTATTAATCCCCCAAACATACTTGTTTTTATCAGATTTTTTAAAAAATCATTATGAGTAAATATAAATTTTTAGTCATAATGATACATTTGTACCATGGGAAATACTTTTGCCTGCTACTTTTGATAAATGGCAACTTAAATTTAGCATTGTAATGGTAAATTCCCATCAGAAGATTATTTCTTTTGTCAAGTAAAATGCTCTTCATGTACTTTTGGTTTAAATGTTATTGCTACTGTACTGAAGAGCAAACAATAGCACTGTTCTTTTCCATCATACTAAATCTCTATTGAACATTTTAATTAAAACTCACACCCCAAACATTATTCATTTTTTTTACTGAAACACACTACTTGCAATTGGGTGATATAATGAGAACACTGCAAAAACTCCTGGTAAAACATACCCGAAGATGCATGCTGAGACTAATAACAGAAGAATAATAAAAGAACACCTAATAGTAGACCCATTTTAACAAATACATTAAGGTCTTTTTATTATTTTTATTTTTCCACTTTTGTTAACTAACATGAAAACAGAAAAAATATGGATCGCCAAACCAATTTTCACAATCTGCTAATAGTTTTGCATTTCACTGGAACAGTCCTGGCAAACATTAACAGATTAATGTTGGTGCAACCATAACATTATAAGGCATATTTACACCATCCTTACAAAACGAACACACAGCCACACACAAATCCTCACAAGGTTCAATTCCAAAGTCATTTTACATTTATAGCCTTGGTATTGAACAAAATATTTATCCAAGCAGCAGACAAACCTCTTATTCTCATGTGATCTACTTGTCACTATTATGCTCATGCAAAATAGGCATTTGCTTTATTGCATTAACATTGTTCAAAGTTTTTGCATTTAATTCTGTTATCATAAGCCCCATTTTGATTCTTCCAAAGAAATTTGTATCACTGCTATTATGTGGCCTTAGAACGAAGAATGATCTGATGATATATTTGTTTTACCAGTGACAAGTCTGAAAATCATGATGACTTGGTCATGCACATTTTAACTATTATAAAAGAATCCATAATATTTCAGTTTGATTTTATTTGTCCTGTTAAAAAAAGAAAGGGAGGGGCAGGAGTCAACCCATGTCCTATCCAACATCCAGTTCACAGAAAGAAAGAAAGAAGCAGCAGGAATCACTCCAAAGAGTAGACCAGAAAGAAGTACATCAGTAGAAACTGGCAACATATTAAACATCTAATGCATCACCGACATGTCAAGAAATATTGAAAAACTATAGCCCATATTTTTGTAAGAGTTCAGATTGCCATGGGCGTTTCCGTTCAGGAAAATAATCCGGAATATGGATTTTTTTAAAATCCTGAATACATTTTTTCATCTCTTCCTCAGCACTTAGCTTCTCACACACTTTCCTTTTGGAGAGGTTTGTTTCTCTTGACTTGCTAATGAGAGTTTGAAAAAGTTCACTGTTCCTGCGCTTGTCTGGGGGTGGCATCCACTGCACTGGGGCCTTCTTGGATGGCCGATCCAATGTTAGAGTATTTGGCAGATGCCCTGCAGGCTGCTGAGTGCCAGAAGCGCTTTCTTGAGGGGTGCTGGCTTCTGAGTGGCTGTCACAACTAGAAGTTGACAACTCATTGCAGGATGTTCCACTCTCGCTTCCTTTATCAGCAATTTTTTCATGCTTCCCCTCTTCATGTTCATGTTTGGGAGATATGGTTCTCTGAGGAGGTCCTAAAAGAAGGAGACAAATTATTAGTAAGTAAATCATTCAGAACGCACACAATCTGTTCTATAATTATGTTCATTTTTTGCAGTTTTTTGCCAAGAAAAAATCGTTAATAAATTTTCCATTAAAAAGTCTTCCACTTCACGTCAAATAATGTTATTATGTTTATACATGATTTATATTGAAGAGGAAGCAGTTCGTGTCCCCTTCTTAGCACTGGAAGCTGCACTATTTTAACTGAAAATTAGGCAGCTATAGAGATTACCTGTCAATACAAAATCCACTAGACATTCTTTCCACGATACTGTACTATGTTGCTTTTTAAATCTTCTGCATGTCAAGATAATCCTGTTTACTGTACTTACAAAACGAAAGCTTCATTTTCATGAAGGAGTTTTATTTCAGGTCAACAAAACCATTCCTCATCTGAAGGTAATGTAATATGGTGTGAGACTGACGAAAAATTATGCTGCAATTCTGTACCTGAGAAACATGGACAATGGGATATGTCATTGCCCAAACCTCTATTATAACTCTTTCATGCTTCTTCTACGGGAATCTGGCAATTTGTCTTTCCTCCCTGAATGTGATACGCTCTTTTTCCTGAAAATTGCCTCCCTTTCAGACACTTGGAAATGGATGAGCTATCAGATGCCACTCCATCAGAGGATGTATGGGAGGGTCTTGATTCACCTACACTGAGATCATGCAGCTTGATAAGCAAGGCATTCAAGAGAAAATTGGACAACCATCTGTCACATCTGCTTTGATTTGGATTTCTGCATTGAACAGGGGGTTGGACTTGATGGTCTTCAAGGCCCTCCCAACTCAATCATTATATGATTCTATGACTCCAAAGTTCCCAACTTCCTGCCTCTCTGATGTGGCAAAAATGTAGTAGGAAGTTTAAGAATTAGATTGTAAAAGAGGTAATCTGCCTTCCAGAGGTAGTGTGAATAGAAGAAACAGTTTGCTGTCCCCTGAAGATGCCGGCCACAGAGACTGGCGAAACGTTAGGAAGAACCACTTTCAGAACACGGCCAAGAAGCCCAAAAAACCCACAACAACCACCAGAAGAAACTGTGTTGTTATAGTAGTAGTGCTTTTAAGATAGCTTTAGCTTGAGGCTCCAGGTGTCCTCTTGTTTGACCAACTTTGTTACTTTCTAAAGAAGTAATTTTTGCCTACAGTGGAGCTCAAGAGAAGTTTCTTTATAACATTTAAGGCTGCATATACTCAGGTTCTTCCATATCAGGAAAAACAACACAATTGGCCCAATTATACACAAGGGTGTTTTTCCCTTGGCAAGAAATCAAAAGAAGATTGCTCCCATTCATATCATTTATTCAACTTCACTGGGTTCTTAGTAAGTGCTAATGGCTGAAGCTCTTTCTTATGTGATGGCCTTTAGGTGTGCCAAGGAGCTTTTTTGCCCTGCTTCCGCTTCTCTAGGCCCCTCTTTTTTAGCTCTTCCACCTCCTGAGGTGAAAGAAGTAAATCTGCCCAATGCTTAATCTCTCACTTCAATGCTTCTATAAATGGCCTGTGGTGACCCATGCCATTTTTGTGTCAGCTGCAGTTACTGTGTAAGTCACTGTATCATTGTTATTCAGTTAGTACATAGAAAATATCTCCTTTCTTTTAAGGTACTTTTTTTCTTTTACACTAATTAAAATGAAGCTTTTGTTTTAGTTTGACGAGCTCTGATTTTTAACTCTTTTCCCGCCTATCTATAGGATCTGGTCTTAGCTACTTTTGTTTTCTCTATTGATACATCCAATTAAGATAAGGTGAATCAAAATAATACAGTTGACTCCAGATGACAAAGACTGGAAGGCTGGAGAAGTACATAAAGTCTTATAGTTCTAAAGCATCTCTACTCTCAAAGCCAGGAAGTCTCAGAGACTATGGCCACTGACTGTAAAAGGAACACATTTTGCACTAAAAGCACATCCCTCTTTGTTATAGCCTGTTTATGTTGGATCACACTGTTGCACTCAAGTTAGTACAGTGGTGCCTCGCTTGACGACAATAATGCATTCCATTAAAATTGCTGTTAAGCGAAATCATCATCAAGCAAAATTTAAAAACCCATTGAAATGCACTGAAAACTGTTCAATGCGTTCCAATGGGCGAAATACTTCATTGTGCTGCGAAGATCCTCCAAAGGGTGGCCATTTTCTGGTGCCTGTATAGCGAGGAATCTGTCCTTAACACAGTGGGGAGCCATTTTGCAGAGCGAGGAGCCATTTTGAAACCCGACGATCAGCTGTTTTCTGATCATCGTTAAGTGAAAAATCAGTTCCTGAAGCAGGGAACCAATCGTTGTGAAGTGAATTTTCCCCATAGGAACATTGTTTTGCAATTGCAATAGTGATCACAAAAAACCCATCGTAAAGCGGATTCGTCGTTTAATGAGGTAATCATTAAGTGAGGCACCACTGTACTATAGTGTTTGGCACAATCGTGAATTTTTAGGGTAAGGTGTCTATAGAAGGCCCATGGGAACAGCTCTGAATGTAATTCTCCATGTGCACAGGATGAAAGATTTCAAGTGTATTTATGATGTACTGAAAGTAATGTTTGAAATGAACAACCTATATTTTCATTTTAGACTCATTGCTAAAATTTTCTGCATTGTTATACAAATGTCATTTGAAAACAATTCAATATTGTTTTTGTTTTATTGCTTTGCCACCCCACTGGGCCAAAAAACTGGGTAAAAATGCAGACCACTATACAGTGGTGCCTCGCTGTATGAAACATTGCTGTACGGAAAGAAAAAAGCCATTGGAATGCATTAAACTTAGTTTAATGTGTTCCAATCAGCTGATTTACTCACTGTACAGCGATGTTCCTCTATGGCCGGCAGCCATTTTCGCGCCCTCCCCTCGCTTAATGAGGGCGCGAAAACACTGCGCATGGCCATTTTGGGGCTTCCGGTGGCCATTTTGAAGCCGCGGAACAGCTGATCGGGGGCCCCATTGGGGCTGTCACTCTGCGATCACATTAGCGATCGAAAAAACGTCCCCGCAGAGCGAATTCATCGCTCTATGGGGCGCTCGTTGTGCGAGGCGCCACTGTACTTTTTATAGCGACAGTATATATTGTGTTTTTATCCTGTTACTTCACCAAGGAGCTCATAGGAGTAAACATGATTCTTTCACTACGCTATTTTATCCACGCAATAGCTCTTCACGGATGGTTAGACTGAAAGAGTGTCCCAGTGTTAATCCATGAACTTCATGTCTTGATGGGGATTTGATTCTCTCCTGCCCTAGTCTGACACTGGAAACAGTAAGCTATGAACCTAGTCACACAAGGAAAATGTGTTCTATTCTTCCTATACTTTGTGTACCTCAGTTGTACTCAATCGTGGTCACATGGTTTATATCCAAGGACGAACGTTCCAAGAACTTTTAGCAATACAGATTCATTTCTCCCATTTGAATCATTATGGTTGGCTAGACCATAATACCACTTTATTTTTTCTCTTGCTTCAAGGGGTAATATTATATATAATATTTATCGATATATTAATATATCAGAAATAAGTCTCCCTCTAAGGTGTATGACTGTTACGGTCAGCCATAGCATTACCTGTCCGTCACAGCTGGGAGGGAAAATCTCAGCCAATGAGAGGGCGGAGGGTGGTGCAGAGGTGGGAGGAGCTGTGATATATAAGGTGTGGGTGAGGTATGAGTGGGTCAGATAAGAGATTGCTGACTGTAACTTAAGATGAGAGAATGAGCTGAGGGTTAAAGTGTTCTTAGAGTCAGTGAGAGTCAGTGAGAAAGATTCTGGGAGAGCTAGTGCCTGAGAAACAATAATTGATTATTTCTTTAACAGTGATTTACCATTCCTTTCTTTTTGTATTCAATAAACCAAGTTTTTATTTTTAAAAGTTATACTGGCCTGCTGTATGATTTATTTATTAAGGAATGGTTGGTGGCAGTAAAGAAGAGTGAAGGGTTTTAAAGTGACGTGATGACCTCCCTTTGTGAGTAGTGAGGAAGGCCGTCACAATTGGCATCCTACTTTTCCTTCCAAAATAAAGCCTGCTATGGCTAATGAATTACCAAATAACAATAACTTCAGCAATAGCCTAAAAATAAAACTGGTATAATCATACCAGAAATTATAGATTCATGATCTCCTGTACATTACCTTAAATTTACTAGTTCTCAGGAATCAAATTTGCAAGATTAGTTTCCTGTTTTAACTACTATTTTAGAAACAGACTGGTGGCAAGGAATTTAAAGAGTGAGAGCTATAAGAGGAGAGAGCAAGCAGGGCCTCAAAGTGGCCTGTTTACAATCTATTTATGTTCATGTCTTTGTATTTAGGAGAGGAAATGGTTTGTGGGGGTTTGCTTTCTGGGTTTTGTCTGTTGATTGCTTATGGTTCAGTATATGACTGCCCAGACTAGTGGATTTTCACTAAATGGGGGTATATAAAAATGTATTAAGTACATTTAATAAACAAATCAATGGCTGGACTGAGCTGGCGAACCAGCCACCTTCTCACTGACTTCACTCTTTAGCACCATGAGAAGCATTCCATTCTCTTTGATAGTGAACAATTCTAAATTTACACCTTGTCCATATCATTTAGGACGTATAAATATTACAACAATTTGAAGGGGGTGAGGGTTTTTTTGGGGTTCTTTTGGTGAGGCACAACTGCCTTTCCTAGAAATATCACTGTGTTCACAGATTTCTAAGCTTGAGATCCTGAATATGCTTTCTATAGTGAATAGTGCCCTTACAAACATGAATTTGGGGGGGGGTGTCATGTGCATGAAATAGTTTCTAAATCCTATCCTAAAGAATGTTATATATATATATATTAAAAAGTCTCAATTGTGCATGGGCTGATTTAGATTCCCTCACTGAAGGGGAGAGAGTGGTGGCATGGAGAATATTTGACCATGTATTTCCCCTACACCATGATTGCCGCGTCTCTGAGAAGATACCTGTGTTAGACCTGGCAAACATTCCTCATG